GCTTTGATTGCTTCCTTTGCTCTACCTTTTTTGATCAACCAACGTGGAGTATCTTTCAAGTATCTAACAAAATTAAAAGCTTTTTTTCGCGAAAAAAAATTATTACACAAAAGTTCACGTTAATTTACGTGATTAAAAATTACTAACGGAATCATAATCAAAGGTAAAACAGTAAGTGCAGATGCTATTCGAGATAGTGTTTTCCAGTCTTTGCATAGATAAGCAATTCCAGATAAGATTATATAGTTTGGCGAATAAGTTACTACTGTAGCCATCCACATTCGATGTTTATCTGGTAGATTTTCCATAAAGTAAGGATTACTAACGCTAAAAATAGGTCAAAACATTAACTATTACTTTATATTTTTTGTGCATAATTAGAAAAGTTTATTAATTTTTAGCTTCAATTTGGTGAAGTTTTATAATAGCGATTGTCACTTAGTGAAATTTTCCTAATTAATTAAATGATTAATAAAATTAAAAAATGATCTAGAATTTATCGAATTTTTGAAAATAATCAATTTTTTAAGAGAAAGATTAAATCTTACTCAAACTGACTTACCAGTGCTTTCCTCCAGTAAAAAACATATCGAGAGAACGAAGAAAAGTAAATATAATAAAGGATGGTGCAAAAGATGTGGCTAATAACGATAGCATCATACCAATGGTACCAATAAGCAAAATCTTAATAAATTATGGCAATATATTGGTATCAAGAATATTTGTTCACACGAACACTAATATTATAGTGTAAGCTATTAATCGTGATTGCGTTATTAATTCTATCTATCATTGTAAAATCATAATATAAGCTATTGATTGATAATAAGGTATTAATTGTAATAACAATAAAATAATATTCATCAAAAATTATTTAATTAAAAATTTATAACATTAATAATAACCTTTTATGTTATGAAAAATTTATGACATTAATTATTTTTGTTAAAATAATTCTTTATTTGTATTTTTTAATTACTTGACCTTTGCATAAAGTTCTTAGAATATTTGAAATTGGTACCTTTTTCCGACCGTAAATATCAGCTAGATTACCAGCAACTATTGCACCAATCATTAATCCAACGTTTTGTAGAGTTGTACCAACTTTTACATACTCATTAGGTACTTCAAACTGAAATTCAAAATTAAATAATTCATGTTTAATAATATTTGAGTAATTTGTTTTTAGTACTCAGATCAAATTTGATTTTAAAATAGTTAAAAATTTGTTCTAAAATATTAATAGGCACTTCATAGTTGCAATTTTGAAAACTGAACTGATTTTGAGATTCTTTTTAATTTATTACTTAATTTTAATTTTTTTTGTAATATATCTCAATATTTTACTACAATTTTATTTGTTTAAAATGCAAGTAAATTTTGGTAATAATATGTTCTTACTCAAAAATTTTTTATTATAAAATTTTTTGGTTTCTAAGAAAAATAATTAAAAATCACATTTTGTCATATTAACTTTGGCATGGAATTATTTGACTAATTTTTTGCAATTATAGTAAATCTATTAATTTGAATATTAAAATATACATCATTTCGAATAGGAATGAAATCATAATGACTTGATGCGCAATAAACTTTAGATTCATTGATTGAAACCCAACAAGAACCAGTTGATGTACAGTTCTTCGATGCAATGTATTCAGGATACAGTTTCCCACAAAAATCTTCTACAGTTGGCTTTCGATCTTAAATTTCTTTATTTATTTTTAAGCTGAAACTTATTTTTAGCTCAAAAACTTACTTAAAATTTTATTCAAAAAAAATTTTAGCCTAAAAATATCTAAAATTTTAAGCTCAAAATACTAAAAATTTTAAATGTTCTTGCAATTATCACATTATTATTATTAAAAAGCAATTGTGTTATTTTTCGTTGACTATTTTTGCTTTGTATAATTGGAAGAAATTCAAGATGTAAGTTTATCTTGTTATTTAAATTAAGCACGGAATAATTATTTTTTATTTTGCAAAAATTTCCTCCAAAAAATAAAACAAATAAGCAAATATAAAATAAATAAATGTGTATTTTTATTTATTACTCAGTATTATTTTGAAATTCTTTTTAATTTATCACATAATTTTAACTTTTTTATAATAATTTTTAAAAATATTTTACAAAATTTTAAATTTACTATCAATTTTGCATTTTTTAAAATATTTGATAGTTATAAGTCATAAAGTAAAACTGACGTTTATTTGATTACAATTTTTAAAATTATAAAATTTTTTGATTGCTAATTTATTTTTTCCTTCAAAAATATTAACTATCAATTTTTTTTCATATTAATCAGTTAGTATGTTCTGATTACTGCAAAATGATTTTAAATTAATTAATTTTTATAATTTGTTTTAATATTAAATTCAGTCTTATACAAAATAATTGAAAAAATTTTTGAAGATAAATTTTGTTAATTTATTTTAAAAATGATATTTATTTTAAATTTGTTTAATTTTTAAATAATAAAAATAAAAATAAAAATGAACCAGCAAAAGTCATGAAAAGAAGATTGCAAACTTGCGTAAGTACCATCAAAAAATACACAAGCGTGAGAAAAGCTACGTATTTTCGGCATGATTGTAAATCAGATAATTTAAAGATACTTTCGAATGAATTTGTTTCTGCTTTAGTTGTTAACACATTTTCCATAGGACGAACTGCACGTGACATTGCTATAAAATTCACGTAAATACAAAATTTAATTTTTTATGTAAGCAAGAAATGAACACGTAAACCAATTTTAAAAAAGCTTTTGCGTTACTTTGCAATTATTTTTTTGCATTCATAGCATCGTTAACATAACAACCATTTGTTGATGCAAAAATATTCTTTAAAAAATATCATTTTCTCAGTTTTTCTTTTTTTTTGAAAAAATAATTGCAGTCGTTAATCAATTAATATTTTTTTTGGTATTATAGAATTTTGTTTTTTTGGTAAAAATCAATACAAAATTGAAGTATAAAATAAATTACGGAAAAATAATTGGATTAATTTGAAGCTTGAAGGATTTTAAAAGATTCAAATTAAAAATGAAACTAATAATTTTATTTAAATGAAATTAATTGAGCTTAAAAAATAAGAATTTGTGATATCAGTTCAAAAATGATAATGACTTTTGTGTTGGATAAGAAATTTTAATTTCAGGTTTTACAAAATTTGCTTTATTTCATTACAATTTTTTGCCCACTCATTTATCTTCTTTTTGCATTTTAACTACAATTTGAAATCATTGAACTTGAATTTTTTTTTTTTTTTACCAAGAACATTAATAAGACTAATTAAATAAAATTCTTCAATTAAATAAATAAGAAACAAAAAATTAAAATTTATAATTTTTTAATGACGAAAATAAATTAGTCATTAATTTAAATTGTATAAAATTTTTTATTATTTGAAATTTAAAAATTTTTTTTATAAATTTCTATTAGAAATTTTTTTTTTTTATAAAATGAATATGTACTTAAATTGTAATACTTTTAGTATACATACAAAAAATATATAAGCAAAAATGGAAAATTAATTAGTTAAATAAAATAAGTACGCGGCTTTGTAGCAATTATGGAATTTGTAAAAGTGAAAGAATTAAGTAACAAAAATTCGAGCAAAAATTAACACAATACTTTATTATGATACCATTCCATTCATGTATTGTTTGGAATATAAATAAATGGAAATAAAATGCTAAAATTACAATAAAGCAATGTAATGCTTATATTTTTATCAAAGGTTACTTTAATTCATTTGCAAATATTAGCAAAAAACTAAAGTCATTGCAATAATCAGAATCCTTTTTCTTCTGCAACAATAACTGCTACACTTGGTTTCTTTGAAAAATCACTTTTGATATTAAGTATTCATAATAATTGCAAGTATAAATCGAGTTGATATGACATTGTTTAGAATTAATTGACTAATAAGATAAGAGCTTAATTTAATTTGATTTGCAACTGATTAGAGTTGTAATCATATCTGTTCAAATTTGACTGATAAAAAGTGATATAAATGAATCTTTGTTTGATTATTTATCCAAACTTTGTTAGCTAAAGATTGAGCTTTAATTTTTCTTTATTTTGAGACAAAGATCAGGATCAGATTTAACAATACTCTAAATTTTTTAAATGCATTGAAAGTTATTGTGGTGGAATATAGAACGTGACCTGATAAGCAAGCTTTTCAATATTTAAATCTTGTAATAAATGAGTAGTTATACGAGATATAGGCTTTAGCATATTTTGTAGTCATGATACGTTCAAAGTTTACAAAGTATAATGTTATTACTACGTTATATGACCTTATGTGACCTCAAAATAGATCTATTGATTAGTAAGTTTAAAAAAGTTTGTGGTGTCATCACGCACTTGCATGATTCGTATATATATATATAAAGATTGGCAACAGTAAAGAAGCAAATAGGGGTATTGATGCCATTTTTAGCTAATTGTGAAGATAAATAAATAATGCTAATAAAATTAGTATTAGCGTTAGCAATAATTAGATGAATTGAATAAGACGATTGATAATAATAAATGTGTAATGAGAGGATAAAAGAGAATAATGAAAGAAAAGTAAAATTCTAATAAGGCAATGAAAAATAAGGTCAGTTCATCGGAAGCACTGAAATTCAATACTTTTACGTCCAAGCAAGAAAACTTTACTCCTTTGACCTTTGCCAACCTCAATCGAGTTACGTATTACGTATTCTTCACAGTTATGAAAAGAGCAAAATTTGTGCCAAATTATAATAATATTATATTATATGACCTTGAAATAAAATGTACAAATATTTTATGCAAAATATATATTGTTAATGTCATCACGTATTTGCGTAGTTACAACGTAAAAGGTGTGATTAACAGAGAAGTTCAGAAAATTATACTACTATAACAATATATGGACTTATATTATGACATTAGATAAATTATCTTGCTTGTAGTTCGAAATACATTCTGTTAAAAACAAACAATTAAGTTGAAATTCTAAATAATACTGAAAAATTCAAAGTCTGATTAGTTGTGAATTGATTAAGCTTCATTTTTAAACAAAAGGAATGATGGTATTAAGAAAATTAATAATTAAATTAAGTATAATAAATAATAAAATAATTTGATTCTACAAAAAAATTTAATTAAATAAACAAATAAAATATATTTTACAAATTTATAAATACTATTTATGTTTGTAAATTGAATGATAAAAGCTTGTAGATAGTTGCAATACAAGTAAACTGATGTGATATTTTTAAGCGGATTGTTGGCTACAACAATTTGCTTCTTGTTTTGATAGCAATAAGCAAGAAAAAGATAAACAATTCAAATTTGATTGTATACTTTTAAAATTATTACAAATATATTTCTCAATTTGAGCAAATATTTGATCAAAATTAAATTTTACAAATAAATTATAAGAAAGTAAGTAAAATTTTATTATGTTTGTTTTCTAAATGCAACATTTCTGCTTAAGTTTGAATTTTTATCAGTCATATTTGTGATTGTAAAAAAAGTAATAATTGGTATGAAGTTAACAATACAAATAGTTTTTACAATGTATGCAAATTAAATAAATTACTCTTTTTCAAGTCAGAAAATTTGAATGTATTGCTAATTTAATGTACAAAGTGATATTGTAAATATTTTTTATTATTATATTTTATTATACTTACTATTAATACTTTATATTATGAACAAATTTTATCATTATTTTTGTTAATATTTTATTTTATATACAAAAAAGACTTAAAGTTAATTATACTTTACTTTCACAGTAAAAAAAAAAGACGTGAAGTTATATTTAAAAATATTTAAACATTGCAACAAACAATTAATTATTGAAAACAATGAAAAAATTTTTGTAATTTAGCAGTAAAAAAATATTTTTGGTTGTGAAGAAATAAAAAAATAATATTCAAACTTTTAAAATTATGATATGTAATTTGAAAATAATAAAAATAGCAGCAAAAAGAGTGAATAATTGAACAATATGGTAAAACTTGATTGATTCAAATGCTTATTTATATTCAATTCATACAATAACTGTGATGTTAATCACACGTACATAGACGCTTGCATAGTTTCGCTTACGTTTTCCAGTTTTGATCAACAATATGAATAAATTTACAGACTGTAGCACGTTTTTGTTTAACAAGGCATAAATTTTACAGTTTAAGACAAAAAATAACGATACTTTTAATTTATATCTTTAATATAATTTTTATTGTTTATTTCATTGATAAATTTTAAATAATCGATTCTCACACAAACTTAGTGTCAAAATCAAAAATGATCGACAAAAATTTTATTCAATTTAGCTTTTTTGTAAATTTTTTGAAAATTACTTAAATTACAATTATGCCTGAAGAAATATTTGATAAAATATAGTATTAGATCGAATGTGATAAATGCAGAAATGATCATTTTCAAATTTGTCGTGGATTTTGCGGATTATCAGCCTATAATAATTGGTAGTAATTACTTAAATATTTTAGTATTGTGTCAAAGAAAAATCAAATTTCATGTGTCAAAGGTCAATATGATAAAGGGATTTGAATGAAGAATTTATGATGTTTGTAATTCATTTACTTCAAACATATATGATTTTAAATTATATTTGAAAAAATACATAAATAATTACTAGATCCAAATTAAATTATTTAAAAAATTATATGATTGATGACTTAAATGATAAGACACGTTTGTTTATGACCTTTTATTTTTTGTTCAATATTTTTACTGCTTTGAAAAACAAATGAATGTACTAAGGTCACTTATCATTAGTTCACTTTTTATCTCTATCTTTTGCAAAGAATTGTGGTAAAATGTACGTGCAGTCATAAATAGCTTTAATTTTTTAAAAGACAATTACTGATTCTTTTTTTCAACTTCAAAGTATTACTAAGAATTTAGTAGAATTTACAAGTTAGAAAAATTTTCTTAAAAAATACATTAAGGTTGAACTGGAAGTGATGAAGCTTTGTAGAATCGGAAACTCATGCAAATCCTATTTTCATTACAAGGCTGTCAAAGGTCAATCATTCGTTGAAGGAAAAAAAACTTTCAAAGAACCAATTTAAATTAAAGTTGGATTTGCCATTGGGGCAATTGAACATAATAACTGTGGAACCTGTGACTTCAGAAGATGATCCATTTTGAGATAGCAACAGCTTCAGCTTAATATTGCACAGTAATCTTTATCATAATTTTTGTATCGACTGTGATAGTTTGCAAATAAATTTGACGTTGAAAAACGTGATTATTTAATGAATGCAAAAATATCCCACACGTAAAATCTAAAAGAACTACAAATAGAATTTACAAATTTTATACAAAAATTCATTTGCTTATATTATTTTAAAATTTTGTTTGTGTTAAAAAATTATTTCGAACCCATAATTATGTAGTACTAAGGGATTCATAATTCAATTGATCCATTGTGATCCAAAATTAAATTCCAGCAATCTGTTTAACTTTTTTAGGTCAGTTGTATTTGCTTTTTCAGTGTGTTTACTACTGAACTGAAAGCAAATTTTGATGTAATTCTGGATTCAAAGAACAAAAAAATTATGCAAATGCCGAATCATGCGATCATTCTCTGAACACTAAATTAAATATTAATAGTGATATATTTCAGAATTATAAATCCTATAATGATACACAATCATATGTCATGAAGTATGCATATACGATTGTCATTCTATAACTCTTTCTTATTAAATCTAATTTGTAAAGAAAGATAGTTTAATTTAAATGTGAAATTTTATATTGTATCTAAACTGTTATAATTATTAAATACTCCAACTTTCTTTATCTGATACTTTACTATAGTTTATATTTCTGACAACTTTCTACTGATTACGAATTTGCTTTTTGTAATTGCAATAACAAACAATATATATCGCACCAAAAGTAAATTTACTAAACTTTGCGAATTTTTTCTTCAATAATTTCTTTTTTAATACATCTTTTTTGCCACTTATTAACAGCTAAATACAGTTTAAATATTTGTAACCAATAAGAACTATTCGTGATTTTTTCGTGTGCATCATAATTAATCCCCATATGCATGAACTTTTTGTGCAAGTTGATGGTGCAAATGTATGCTACCACTTTGTTCATTGGAATGAACAAGCAATCTAAAGTAATCACGGAGTTGAAATTCGCAGAATTTGTAGCATTCTGAAAACCTTGAAGTTGAACGATGTTTTCTTGCTAAATCTGTTGTGATTTCTAATTATTATTACGGTTATCGACGAAATTTATAAGATCCCATTTTCTATGCTCTTTTCTGATTCTGAAGTTCTGGCAATATTTGCATTTATTTATTAATTTCTCATCGAAGTAATTATCATGAAAGTTAAAACAAAATGTTCCACAACAATACAACTAAAATCCGAGCAATGAACACAAAACAGTACTTTACAAAATTTTCATAATGAAAAACAAATTGATAAACACCAAAAATAATTACACTCAGTAAGTGAGTGTTCTGAGCCGTGAACACATACGTACTGCTCTCTCTGCAACCAATTCTCATAAGTAATCATTGTCGGAATCAAGAACTGTCAAGTGTTATAATGCCAAGTGTGATTATTTTACCATAAACAAGTGTAGTACAGGCGTGCCACCATTGATATGCACAATACGTGAAAACCAACAAATTCACCGAAAAATTAGACTTGCCACAATACAAACAGACACGTAGTATCATGACCCAACGTCTCACTTTCTTGCCTTACACTCCCGCGGAAACTTCAAGAATTTACACTTACTGATAATCTCAAGTTTGCTTCATCCGTTGAAGTAATCAAGCACGTTTTCAACAAAAAGATAAAATACAATGGAGTTAGAGAATAATGCAAAAAAAAGGTGCAATTTCTTGTTTCTCAACTTTATTTGCACGTGAAAATAACATCCATCAGCTCAAAGTGCCAGTCATTAAGCCAAAGTGCCAACGCTAAACAATGTGATCAGATCATCATCACTGTCATCAGGAAACACAGAGGACTGATTTGGTTCCATACAGCTAAGTTAGTTTCACCTGACCCTTCCTCGGGTGCGCTGATCGCTGCGCGCTCTTCCTCGGGCGTAGGGCTTGAGCAGAGTGATTTCAATCGATGGAGAAGTGGAACCATTCGTTGTCGTAAATTACCTTTCTAAAAACTGTATTTTTAGCACCGATCCGATGCACAGTAATGTCGTTTCGAAGACTACA